GGCCGCACGCCAATGCTGCAGGGCCTGCACGCCAACCTGCAGGGATATACCCTGCAGGTCATTGGCGTGCCGCCCCGCACGCCAATTTTCGTTGGCGTGCAGGCGCGCACGCCAATCTGCAGATGGCGTGCGGATTGGCTTGCGCGAGGGGGGTTGGCTTGCGCTTATCAACCCCCCGAGCTGCGGTAGATTCTGGTCATCCTCATCTAACCGAAACAGCCCTGAACACTTTCCTCAATACTGTATTAACGTTCCCAGACGAAGCTTTTCCTTTATCCTTCCATCTTCCTGACCCGTTTGCGCCTCACTTCTCTCTTGCTGGTCCCTCAGTTTTGGGGACTAATCCCTTCATTCCTCCTACTCCGTTTATACATATGCGCCCTGACGATCCTCGTCTTCAGTTCCGAACCTCTTTTGTTGATCTCCTTTGGGCCCTTGTGCCCTTCCTTTCTAACTTCACCCCTTCCCCTGGTGATCATGACATCTTTAAGTTACTTAACCATGCAGTGGTTTCTGCACAAGACTGGTACATTCGGTCGCATCACTTATAGTAAGTTTCTCTTTTTTTTTACAATCATTGCATAGCTTGTGTATACTAATGTACAACCATGCTGTTTTTCCATACTTGTCAGCCCTGATGTGGCAGACCATCAGTTACAGTTTGATCAGTACTAGCCCTCTTCTCTTTTCTCTTGCCTTCTTTTTGGCATCTTGTATTTGTAGCTTTTTATTTATCTTCTTAAAAGAAAAAAACTAAAAAGACTTTTCTCTCATCCAAATCTTGCCTCCCTGGTTTTTTTATTTTTATTTTTATTTTATATAAAAATACAAAGTACAAAAAAACCAGCCTCACTGTTCCTGTCTTGTCTTGTCTCTTTTTTTTTATAAGGAAATTGTAAACTTATTGATTTAGTTTACTTAAGTACAGATTACCTATGTAACGGTGTACTTTCTTGGCTTTCTTTCTCTGGTTTTTCTCCCTGGGCCTAGCCACTTGAATGCTATACCAAAGTTTCCCTCCCCCAAAATACAAGCTCATCCTCAGCCTTTTGCTGATAAATCCAAACCTCGAAGCCCAGGATCCTTCCTCAACAAAGGCTTTCCCCCCTTTTGAGTCCAAAATTTGTAAAAAGTCTAATGAGTCTGAGAACCCTCCGGGTAACTCTTCAAGCCATTCTTGTGTGTTTCTCTTCTTCTTAGGTATGTGAGCTCCGTCGAATACGTCTTTGAATCTGTAGGGGAGATAATCCACCCAAAACCATTCACGACCTGTACCAACATCAATGGGTTCTGCCGCCCATGCTGCCTCTGCTTTCTGCCAACTGTTTATTAGTCTGGTTCTGTTCCGCCGGGGTGAGAGTAGCGGCTCCCCAATTTCTTTGGCCTCAGTCTACAGCTTCTAGTAAATGCACTTTC